AAATGTGGAATAAATGGTAATATACAAAGATCTAGAAAATATTTTGGTTGCCTCGTAGAATATCTTTAGAAATTGGACAAATGCTCTTACATTTTTCCAATCTAAACTTGTAGGAGCACCAATAGTCCTAAAAAATTGCATGTATCCAATGTCATCGTCCTCTTCAAGCTTCTCAAATGCATGCTGGAATTTCTCCGCAGCATCCAACATCAAATAAGTTCAATTCCATCTTGTAGGAACATCAAGGCAAAAAAGCTTTTGACAAGTGCAAAGTTTATGTATTCTTTAAACTTTGCAAGACGTTGAGGAGAAGACCTCACAAACCTCACAACAGTACAAATGCTTGTAATTGAGTTGTTTATATCTTTTAACCCATCATTAACTATAAGGTTAAGGATATGTGCACAACATCTTATTGCAAAAACTCTCCATCAAGTACTAGGCCAAAACTGTTTTTGAATTTTTTTTTCTTTAAATAGGTCATGACTACATCATTTGAGAAAGCATTATCAACTGTTATTGTTGAGATGTTTCTAATACCCCACTCCCTAAGAACCTCCTCCACATGTTTTCCAATGGTTTCACCTTTATGGTTAGGAATTAGAGAGAAACTAAGAATTCTTTTTTTATATTTCAACTCATCATCAATAAATGAGCAGTAAGTGTGAGATAATTCAAATTTTAAATCGAGGTCTAACAATCCATAGTAAAAACCACCCTACTACTATTAGACTTCAAGAGAGATTTTAATCTAACTTTTTCTTCTTAGTAAATTTTAAAGGAATCCCTTGCTCCAGTATACCTCGAATGAGGCTTCATTTGAGGTTGAAGTTGTCTACAAAGATTTTTAAACTCCTCACCTTCTACAACCTTAAAAGGTTGTTCATCTAATATGACAAACAATGCTACTGTCCTTCTACAAGCCTCAGAGTTAAACCTATGACTAGATGCAGTCAACGTAGAATTATCCCCACTCCTATTAGGTTGAAAGGTTAAAACTGTTTGGCTAGGGTTATTACTAACAACATATGGAAACTTTGGACACACTTGAATATGATTAAGCATGTTTTTGGTTCCATGTGTTTTAGTGTCACAATAATAAGTTTTGGAACAATATTTACATTTTGCAGTTGAAAAGGTAACTTCATTGTCAAACAATTTTTCAAAATGGTCCCATGCACGAGATGATGTGCGAGGACCACTCGCATTGGGTTTTCTCTTCTTCACCGCATTTGATGGGAGAGGAGGATTTGCAGCTTCAATTGTAACTACATCTTGGTTAAAGGGCTGGTTTAGGGAATCAGCCCTTGTACATTATAGTTTCACATACATAAAAAATAGAAATATATGATATACATCCACATGCATAATATAAATAGAAATACATACTATACTTTCATAATTATATACGAAAAAGAAGAGAAACATGTTGTTTAACATATTTTTCCAAAAAAAAAATATTTTCCAAAAAAAAAAAAAACATACAAGCAGAAATTTTCAAAAGTATTACAACACCTTGTATTTTCCTGCTAGACTCAACATGGCCTGTAGCTAGAAAGCCATTCAATTCCACCCAATGCTCTTCTTCTATAGTTGTCTCCATGTTCCAAAAGGGTTTGCTGTTAAAAATAAAATAAAATATAACACAAATAAAACATAATCAAATGTTAGTACACACAGAAAATAGGGGAAAGATAGGCAAAAGTGAGAGCTGAAGCATCATCTCACCAAAAACTATTTTATTTTGTTTTTTAATACGAAATCAAAGGTCCATTGCTCTCATTTCCTAGTTGTAGCAGAACATTTATATTTATGTAACATAAATATGAAGTTCTATTCTGTGATATCACATATGTCAAATGTAGGATCTAGTGCTAAAAATAGAGACACAAAATACACACATAGAAGAAAATAACAAAAACATTCAAGGAAAGTACAAACCCTAAAGAAGTCCAAGAATAACAAAATACAAGAGAAAATTTACCTTCTTTAATTTCTAAGGGATCCAATACCGAAAATAGAGACACAAAGTGGTATTAATGAGGATGTGTGAGAGATAAAATCTTAAAAAAAGATATTAAAAATGTAGAATTCAGAAACTCTAATAGGGATAGAACAAAATAACATTCAAGGAAAGACTAAATAAACACAAATACTTAAATAGGGATAGAAAAACTCTAACCCAAATGATAAATAAGGAAGAAATATACCTTCTTCTTCCTTGATTTTTTTCAATTTGAGAGGGGATAAATATGTTGACTGTTGAAGAAACAGGAGAGAAAGAGGTAGGGAGGGAGAATAGGTAGGGAAGACAAGAGGAGAAAATGGAAGAAACGGTGTTGAGAAGGGAGGTAGCGGCGCAAGAAAAAATGGTGTTGTGTTTTAGTTGAGGGTTTCAACTAAAATACTCTCTTTTAATTTTAGGCAAGAGCTCTCGGGTCCTATCGGTAACCGATACCCAGAACTGAACCTGACCATTGCAATCTTCCAATATCCATTATCTTTCACCCGTTTGGAGCAGCTACCAACTCAACCCAACAAATTCTATTTTTTTCCCTTGACATTATTCAATCATTTTTATAGAAAAAAGAAACTGAATATCCCTTCAGCGCACTTCATCTACCTACACTCCTTCGACCTTATCTCAGGACGAAGGGTATCCACACCCCTTTGGCCTCACTTTTAGATAGAAATACTAACACATTTTTAGTCACATCAAAATAAATTAACAGGCTAATTAAGATAATTAACCAATAAAAAAAAGCTAAACGTCTAAGCAATCAGAAAGATAATGTAGGGCTGACCCATTAAAGCCCATAGTAAGAACGATAGGTAAAAGAGTTGATTTTAGAATATTAATCGCATTTATTGTTATATACTGAACACTAACTTCACCATCAAAGTGCCTTTGAAGGTACATTTTTCATCACATTCAAGAATAATTTAGAATATTCAACAGGAATGTCATAACAAAAGATAAGAACAGAAATTATAACAGACAAGTGTATCATTTACAGGAACAGTAAGAGATAGGTGAAAAGCTTTCATTTGGACCAGAACAATGCATTTGTCTTGAAACAACGTAGCCTTTATTCTCTTAAATGTGTGGTTGGTTTTATTATATTTTAGATTTTACCAACAAGGCAATAAAACTTTTAGCCAGATTTTAATTATTTTCTTTTAGTCAAAAAATGGTATGACTAACTCTTTTAGTTAATTTATTAATGCACCAAATCTTTGTGAAATGGTCTAAGGCTGGGTTGGTTTTAGTGTCTATACATGAATCAAGTTCTTGACACGACTAACTAGGGAGAAATTTTTAGGTGAGAATTTATTTTCTTAGCCATTCAGATAAAAATTAACATAAGCAAAACAATTATTACTACTTTTTACATTAATATATATCTAATATGATAGACGCAATATTCAATATGTTCAATTGTTAATTTGATTTTATATAGTAGAAAGCTTCTGCTTAAATCGTTTGACTAGGACCTTCCATCTCTCTCATTGTTGTTTCATCATGGCAGAATATGCAATTGGCGAGCCCAATTTACGCCTAATTTTGTATTAAGGGGTAAGCAGTTTCTTCTCTGTCTAAATTTCCTTATTCTGGGCTTACATGTGTTTTAATTTTAGTCTCTTTTCACATGCGCACTTCCTGTATATTTGAGTGAGTATTTGTAAACTTATACTTAAATGGACTTAAGTTTATTTTATTTAAAATTATTTTTACAATGATATGACAAATATTTGATTTTTTTTTCAAAAATATAAAATTCTACTATTTAATTTAATTTTCTGAATTCACTACAAATATTATAATCTATTATGTTGGTCCAAATATGAGTTCAAAGGTAAAATCAATTTTAATCTAAAAGAATCAAATACCAATTTTTTTTATAAAGCTGTATTACAATAAAATGAATGTAATTTTCTAATAATTTAGCACAAATCTAAAAATGCAATTCCTCTGCTTATGAATGAAACCACGTAAATGCAAAGTTGTGCTTTGTTTTCCTTTCTTTTTTGGGTCCATAATGCTTTGATGTGGGTTTTTGGTCTTTTGATGCTTCATTGTTCAAGTAGCATTATACGATTATACCCAAGCCTCGCCTCAATATGGGCCTTACAGAATTCGGCCTGGCTCATCCATTTTTAAGTGGCTCAGGACTATGTGGAGCTTCTTTATTTTTATATGATTTTTTATTTTTAAAATACAAAAAATATGAAATTTTTTCCTATATTACATGAATATGGGATTTTCATAAAAGTTGCCGGTGGCGATTTTTTCATCTTATATATCAAATCACAATTAAAACTCACCAATGGCAAGATTTAAAATAATAATTTATTTATGGCAAAAATTATCATTGACGACTTCTGGTGCTATAATTAAAAAATATATATGTGAAATTGCAAGTGGCGATTTTTAGGAGTAGGAAAAAAATAAAAAATCATTATTGGCGAACTTTAAATAATATTAATTAATCTAAAATTTTTAAAAGTTGCTATTGGCGATTTTTAAAATACTTGCCTATAAATACGGAGTTCTTCTTTCATTCAAGTTGTAGGTGAGTAGATATGAATTTATATATATATACACATATATACATACATACATACAGAGAGAGAGAGCGTGATCATTATAGAGCTAAAATGAGTGTGCTCTTGTTAATATATTTTAATAGCTAGATTATTATAAATACCCGTAAACGTGTGTTATTTAGATGTGAAAAGCTAACATGTGTGTACATGAGAGAGAATATGTCATTGACGAACTATGTTATTGGCTTACTCAAAATATTGAATTTGAGTTTCCAAAAGCAATGGAAAGTATTGTTTATAAGTGTCCAATATCTATATTTGGCAGTTTCATGCAATATTATACAGTTCCAAAAATAAACGTGCTAATGTTGTACAGATGTTTCAAATACATCACCAATATCATGCACCAACTCCTGCTATTGAGTTATATGTTATTTTCAAAGAAATTGCAATTAACATTGATGAGAAGATGAGGATGCATATGTAAGCACTGTCCCAAACAGAGAGGTAGAATGGATAAATGTCAACAATAAAAATGGTGACTTTGAATCTGAAGGAGAATAGGGAAGTAGTGAACTGAGTGAAGATGTAGATGACGATGGTGATGACGAGGTCCATTTGTCAAATACAATGGATCTGGCTGCCAACTCAAGGTCAAGTGTTGGGTAATTCCTTTCATGTGGTTTCAATTGCTTGGAAGCATATGCAACCACATTCTTATTTTGTATTAGTACGCATCCTAGTCCTTGTTTGGAGGCATCATAGTAGACTTCAAATGGTCCTTGAGGATCTGGCAAAGTTAACACGGGAGTCGTTGTTAACTTTCTCTTCAATGCTTGAAAGCTCTGCTCACACTCTGGTGTCCACTCAAATGGAGCATTTTTCCTAGTTAACTTCGTCAAAGGCAGAGCCACTTGAAAGAAATCTTTTACAAACCATCGATAATATCCACCTAAACCCAGAAAACTTCTGACTTCAGTGACTGTGGTTGGCCTTTCCCAACTTAGTACGACTTCTATTTTGTTGGAGTCCACAAAAACTCCTCCTTGGGACACTACGTGTCCAAGAAACTTCACTTCAGCCATCCAAAACTCACACTTAGATAGCTTAGCATAAAGTTTCTTTTCTCTTAGAGTTTGTAGAACCATTCTCAAATGCTCTTTATCCTCCTGTTTTGTCTTCGAGTAAACAAGTATGCATCAATAAACATCACCACAAATTTATCAAGATATGGTTGAAATATTCTATTCATATAATCCATGAATATTGCTGGTGCATTTGTCAACCCGAAGGACATCACAGTGTATTCATAATGTCCATAACGGGTTTGAAATGATGTCTTGGGAATATCTTGCTCTCGAACTCGAATTTGATGATATCCAGAACGTAGGTCAATCTTGAAAAATACCATCGCCCCTTGCAACTGATCCATGAGGTCATCAATTCTTGAAAATAGATATTTATTCTTAATTGTCATCTTGTTCAACTGTCTATAATCTACACATAGCCACATACCTCCATCATTCTTTTTGACTAACAGAATTGGAGCTCCCCATAGTGATGCACTCGGTCGTATAAATCCTATTTCCAAGAGTTCTTCAATCTGCTTTTTAAGTTCTGTTAATTCTAAAGGTGACATCCTATATGGAGCTATAGATATTGGCCCTGTCCTCGGCACTAGTTCAATGGTGAATTCTATTTCCCTTTCAGGAGGAAATTCGAGAATATCCTCTAGGAATACATCAGGGTATTCCTTGACAACTAGAATATCTTCCATTCTTTTATTAACTTCTGTCACACTGGTTGACAGAAGAAGGAAACCCTGGCTCTCTAGTCCGCAATGATTTATAGTTATGGAGTTCAAATAGAGGTTTACTAAGTTTTGAGATTTAGGAAGTGAAACAGAGGAAAAAATTACAGTCTTATCAGAACAATTGAGCATGACACGATTAGCAGAAAGCCAATCTATGCCCAAGATTATATGAAATCCAGACAGAGGAAGACAAATCAAATTGGCTGAAAAAGTTCTATCATTAATTTGGAGAAGAACATTCATACATATCTGACTAGTTTTAACAGGTTTGTTGGTTGGAGTAGATACCAACAAATCGTATGATAACTCAGAAATTGGAATTTGCAAAATAGACACGCAATTACCTGAAATAAATGAATGTGAAGCACCTGAATCATAAAGTACAATTAGAGTCTCACCATTCACTTCACATGTATCTCGAATTAATCCCTCAAAGTTTTCAACTTTATGTGCATCCATGGTGAAAACTCGCCCTTAATGTTGAGGTCTAGAGTTTTGTTGCGGATTTCTGGTTGGACATTCGTAGATCTTGTGGCCAGGTTTGCCACATCCAAAGCAAACATTTTGACCTACTAGGCACGAGCGGTTGCCATGATTCTTGCCGCACTGATTGCAGATCTAGTTCCTAAAAGGCTGATGAGGTTATTTACCTTTATTACTAGTAGGTTGGAACATCCTCTGTTGTTGAAAGTTAGGCTTGAACCTTGGTGCTTGCGTAGACAATCCCTTCTTAAATTTACTATTGGTTGACCTAACAGCAACCAACTTTTTATTACAGTCTTCCACAAATCGACACTTGTTAACTAAGGTAGGGAAACCTCTTATCTCCATTGGCCTTATGGTGGCAAGAATATCCTCTCGCAGTCCACCTTCAAACTTCACGCACTTCCAAACCTCATTGGGGTTCTTTTGATAGATTGTGGAAAACTTACACAACTCCTCAAAATTAGCGATATACTCCGATATACTACTGTTTCCCTGATGAAGTTGCATAAATTCTAGTTCCTTGGCATTACGGATAAAAGCAGGAAAATACTTCTGATAGAACGGATCACTAAATACATCCCAAGTGATTTCAGTTTGGGATTCTTCTAATAACCTTCGTACACCATTCCACCAAAATTTCGCATCTGCTTCCAACATATAGGTGGCAAAGGCCACCTTCTGACAGTTTGTACAATCTAAAACAAAAAATACTTTATCAGGATCAAAGGCTCCTCTAAAGTTAGGCGAGTTAGCTTTTCTAAATTCTGCAAATTTAAGATACTCTAGATCCATTATAGGACCATTTGGATTCCCTCCGCGAACCATCATTTGAGTTGCTACAGCCGCTTGTTCTCACATGGCATGCGTAATATCTTGCATCGTATTCATAAAATCAGTCTGGTCCTCTTGTTCAGGTACAATTCGTTGTCTACCTCACCGTCCCGAAGCCATTAAATTTTGAACACACAAAACAAAAGTCATTGTGTTGATCAAGCTCATTACTAAGTTTAATGTGCTAGTAAATAATAGCTCACATGGACAAACACCTCTTACAAATACACTTCTAGAATTTAACCATAATCCAGTACATTATATCTAAAAGTTAAAAGAATATATATGGAGCATAATCAATCCAATCCTCAGGCCCTTGCTAGGATAAACTGCTTTGATACCAAATTTGTAACACCTACTGAATTTAGTTTATGCTTAAGTAATAATTACTAAATGCAGTAGTTGCATTACATTAATTAAAATTTTTATTTATTCCATTCCTTCATTTCATATTGATTTTTGTAGTAAATTATCAAATGTATAAATGAGCGAAACGTTATAAAAACAAAAATAAAAGAAGATCAAATATGGAAATAACCTGGATAAACATAGTAATTAATTTAACTCATACATTTTACAGAAAGGTAACTAGATAAACATATGTATATATGATACCATGTTATTTACATACAGTTAGGAATACATATATGAACCACTATATACAAAAAGATCAGTGGCCCATGTTATCAAAGTGCAGTCCTAACGAGATTTCATAAGACAATTTAGAACTAAGATTAGTGTCCTAAAACTACTTTCATGGCCCAATAAACTATCCTACCAAAAGAGGGCTATATTGTACAAAGTTAACTACTCCACCAACTACTCAGACAGAAAACCATTGGCCATAGCAAGCCCAGCAGGAGTATAGTCATCAGGTCCAAGAGAGGATGATGATGAGTCTGTAGCTTCTGATGGGTCACTTTCAGATTCAAGCGGATCTTCGATGATCACCCGCAAAGGTGAAATAGATATAGGTTCTGTATAATCTGCAGGAGTAGGATGTGTTGCGTACAGTGGAAATGCAAAATATGGAGTAGCTGGGTCGAATGCAGGATGAAAAAGAGGTCTAGAAAAGTCCCTATTACTAAAGAAATAAGCTCTAAAACGACACGATCCAACTATATAAAGAGAGTGAAAGGTAGGATCATAGTGTAACTACATATCCGAGAACTTAATGTAGATCACTGTTGTTGCGTCCATCATATAGATCTGAGAATGAAACGAAAACTAAGTAATGTGAGAACTTCTAAAAATTCTCAGTAGGGTTGTGTGTTTCTATGTGACATCGCTTTCATTCTCAATTGCTTTAGTTTTTATTTAAATAAAGGGTTATTAAACTAATAAGGAAATATTTCAATTATGATTACTGAAAACAGAGCCCAAAACAAAGTAAATTTTATGTCTAACATTTGCAATACACAGGATCATAATGATTATGATACACATATACCAGAATATGAACCTGAATCATACATGTAACATAACAGTACTTAAAGTTGTAATTGAAAGCAACATTGGAATGAATTAATATTAATTAAAATACTTTCAATCACATAATAAGGTACTTAATTCTCATATATATTCCTATCCTTGGTTCCCTGGGAGTTCTTGGCCATAAGACTACTGGATAATAGTCTGGTTATCAGGATCGAGCTTGTTCCTATACAGGATTTGTTAGGTTTACTTTCCCCAACGCTCGCACCGACTTATTCCCCTTAACTTTTTATCTGGGGCTGGCCCAAGTGATATAGGACTTTCTTATAACTTTCAATCATCTTAAACTTTCATAACTTTTATATTGTATCTCACATATCTCTTTAAAATTTTACAATTTATCCATAATTCTTACAAAATATGTGTAGCCTAACGGATCATATTTGCTTTCCCATAACTAGTGCCAACTCACAATTAGACATTCACAAATATCATAGCAAAGAAATAAATAAATAAGTAAATAATTAAATGAAACCTTAACATTCAAGATCATTTCCTTAAAAGGATAAATTTTTCCTTATTTTATTTTTTACTACGTTTATTGCTATATGACTTTAATAGACTCAATTTTTGTATGTTGAAGCCCTGTTTGTCTATTTTCTAACCTAATTGGTCTCATTCAGTTTTGACAACTACAACTCAAGATTTTTGCTTTCTACTATTACCTGTCCTGTGATTAGCCAGAATAGCACTCAAAAATATTAAAATCCACCAAAATTCGAATTCTAAGTGTATGACTGTGAAATTCATGTCATTTTAAATTTAAGAAATCAAATTTTAATATCCAAAAAGTTTCATTTTATTTGGTTAAATAGAATTCAAGCTATAAGGTTCTAAAGTTGGTTATTATAGGTTGCTCTGTTTCTGACTCAATAGTACTAGAGGTAAATTCAGAAAAATTCTGGGAACTACTCAAAATGAATTGGACTGTAAAATTTTTATGGTATGAACTAATATATCTTAGCTTTTTAACAAATTTTGTTTCACCTCAATCCAAGTTATGTGGAACGAGTTATGTCTTACACAAGCTTACTTGCCCAAAATCAAAATCTGAAACTTAACCCAAACTTCAAAAATTCATAACTAATTCTATACTAATCCAATTGCTTAATAATTTATATGTACAGAAAGATATGGATGTCTAGTTTAAGTTAAAAATATTTTAATAATATTTAAACTGTAAATAATTGGTCGACAGAGTGTATTTGTATGGAAACCCTAGAAAATTTTGTTTTTAAACTTGCTGTTTTCTTTCTCTTCTTTGTTTTTCTACTTGATCTACCTTCAAACTAACCCAAACCACCATTAACCCAACTATACATCATAAAAGAAAAACACCACATATATCATGTATTAAAAGATTTAAAACATAAAATAGATAGGTACACACATCCATATAAGCATATCAACATAGATAGAACCCTACTTCCTTTTAGCACCAATTTGATTTCAAAGATGTTTTTAAGTTGCAAGTGTAGGTGAGCTTGAGAGAAAAGCTTATGGAAGTAAGAAAAGGAGAAAGATGAAGAAGAGAATGAGGGAGAGAAGTGATCAATTTTATAAAGAGATGAGAGAAAGCAAAAGATCTAAGTGGCTATGATGAATGGAGTTACTTGGCAAATTTTGATTGGTTCATAAATTTTGTGGTCTCAAATGAGCCACAAGGTGGATTATGAACCATTGGATCAAGATGTGATGGATGACTTCCCCACCGTTGGATCTAAGGTAAATAATATTATTTTATTCTGCTAATTTAAATTACTGAAACTATACTGGTCGCTCTCCTAAGATGAAATTCTACTATAAATTTTTAATTCTAGTCTACCTAATTAACATAGATTTGAATTCTAATAAATATTCAATTAATCTCTTATTAACCTTATTCATGTAAATTAATCGAGAAAATCAATTAATAGCATACAACAGACATTTAAAATTTTAGACGTTACAGATGGTTGCTCTATCGGTTGGCATAACCATAGCCAATTTGTTGCATAAAGTGTGTACCATACCCAATATTTGGCTGAAGGATAATAGTGATCAATCTCCAATCCTAGTAAGATACGCTGATACCGATGCTCCCACATTATCACCCAATTATCATGAATGACCCTCCAATTCTTTGGTTCTTTTAATCCTCACAAGTCTTTGTTATAAACCCTCTCCAGACTTTTAGGTGGTTGAGGAATAGGCTGTGCATATCTAAATTGTCGCATGATACAATCAGCTGCATGCCACGATTAGCTACATGCCACTTTATAACTTTGAAACAAATCAAAGGGCTCACAGTTGACCATACAAAATGTTCTCTTCTCACATTATCTGCAATTAATGCATCGATATCATCATCCTCATATGGTTGCAATAGAAACTGCATGAAATAAGCAAATATTTATGTTATTATAAGTTACATACAGAAATTAACGGTATTAACAATTACAAGAATATTATAATAATTTACCTCATGAACACCCATTTGATCCAGAGCCAATCTAATACTGCTAATATTCTTAAATGGTGAGTTTGCTGGATATCGTATTTTTCTCCATCTGAGAACAAGTGAAAATACTATTGGTTCACCAAAGATTGGAGCCAACCACGATAGTCGATGCGTTGCCCATACTTGCAACAATATTATACACCCACAAATTTCTCTAGCATCATGTCGTGAACCATGATCCAAGCCTTTATAAAGAAATGAAAGGCATGTTAAACCCTGATAACTGCATAAATTTTGTATATGCCACTAAATTGCTTTTATTTGGCATTAAGACATGTCCCAACAGACTAACTATATATTCATGTGCATGTTGTGCTCTTCTAATGTCAGAATTAACAGGAAGCCAACCAAGATGTTCTGTAAGCCACTTTAATCTAATTTCTGATCCTTCAATATCACTCACTGACGGTCGACCCCCCAATAACTTATCACACATGTTTTGAACCACTGTAGAATAGGGATTAGTAGACCCACTAGTAGACCATTAATCCAGAGTTCAAATAGCATACAATGATACAAATATCTTCTAATGTAATTGTGCATTCTCCACAAAGTAAATGAAATGTTTGCATTTTGGGGCCTCCAATGTTTGACAAGTGCATTAATCAAATGACCATTTATTTGTATATGATAAATTTTAAAAACTCGATCAAACCCAGCATCGCGTAATATGTCATTTATTTCTTCTCTAGGTGGCATTATGGATAAGTGGCGAGAACGTAATTGTCTCATCTCTTGTCATAAAAAATTTATATTAGTCCACACAAAATTATTATGTCTAATTTATAAACAAAAAATAAGAAAAGTATAATTTATTAAATTTACTAACCAATTATAACTAAATAATAATAGAATTCCGGTCCCACAAAAAAAATAATAAATAATAATAATAATAATAACACAACAACAAATATAACATAAACAATTTTATTATCGTAAAGTTTATACAAAATAGAATGTTATAAATAGAATTTTATCTAACTTGCGGTACTTTTTCTTA